TTCCCAGTGAAAACTTTGAAATGCTTGGAGAATATGTTCGGCTGGGACCGTAGACAAAGATGATTGTATCACTTGCACTACATAGCTTCTTCAAGGAGATACCTTTATGCTGCCGTTTACCCACGGATTCGGGTATATATATCCTGCTTTTTTGCTATATTACTGTGTCAGAAACACCCCACGGTAAGAGAAAGGCCAGGCAAAGTTCAGCTATAGAGAAAAAGCGTATCTTAAACAGTAGGGTAACGTGAAATTGCGTTGGTTCCTCTATTGTTTACGGTAGCTTATACAGCGCAGCCAGGAGCCGGAGAAACGGCTTTCTAATCAATTTAATTCTAAACGGCGGTCAGCGTGTGTTAATGGGGGGTGGGGAAGGGGATCAGTGACTGCTAAGCCGAACAATGGGGTATCGTGTGCCACTAACTTCCCTCCCGCACCCCCTCGGCCCCTCGGGAGCACGAACGCCACTCTCTGGCGGCAAGTCCATGAAGGTCACGGGGGGCCATGGAGAAGAATGGGTCAAGATGCAGCAGCTGGTCATCGTCCTTTCGCATGCTCCAGACGGAAGAGCGGCCTCACACGGGCCACCACCATCCTATCGATCGCTGTATATTCATCTAATTTATTTGTTTGCTTAGTAAACCAAGCCGAGTAAGTCCCATGGGGCAGCAACCACAATTTGACTGCGACTTCAATTGGTCCACTAATAACCACTCTATATCTATTTTGATTCTACGTCATACAAGTAGGCCTAGATTAAGTTTACAAATAGTGCCAAATTCAGCAATTAAATCATTCGCGGAATACGATTCACTGTCAGTAAGGGTGGGATAATATCAGATAAAGAATAATTTAGCTGTCCAGTCATATTAAATTTAGCTATTCAGGCATCATTTAACTATTCAGATGGAATATAACCTCCTAGTATTTATTCTGCACTTTTAATAGTCTTAATATGCCTACATTGAATTCATTAGTAAAACAAGTTTATTCAATCCTGTATTTCAAACTGTTTTTCTCAGTATGATTTCAAAAAGTCTTAAATAATACTAATTAATAAAACGCGCGCGATCTGTGGGTGTGAAACGTCCGATCCCAAAAATCCAAAAAAAGTCACCGCTGGGGAAAAAGTGTTTTTGATGCGACGCTGGGAGCCATCTTTATTTTAATGTTAAACGACAAAATGTGTTTCTAGTGGCACGTGACGCTAACAAATCTGTAAACTATATCATTTCATATAAAATATTCAATTCAAATAAAATCTCTTTCTGTTACGGAACCACAGCTGGAAAATTTAGTTCCATAACTTCTGCATTTATCTGAAGGGACGTTTTACTGCTTTATACGGTAAATATTTTACTACAGCAATTCGTGTTAAGTACCTGTTCAACGGTTTCTCCTGGGACGTGAACTTTCAGGCTATACGCACATGTTCTGAATTAGTATAATACCTGCTGCTGGTCAATATGGCATCGTTATGACTTTACAAACTATTAGGCTAGGCTATATGCAGACATGGCATAATACAAATAGGCGTGGTCATCTTGACTTGTTGCACATTTTTACTTACATACAGCTGAATTTAATGACCAAAAATATTCTATTTTTATTCTATATTAACTGAACTTGTATACATGTATTATACACGACATATAGGTGAAACGAGATTCCTTGGGTCGAAAATGTAATATATATAACATATATATTTATATAAAGATATATGTATAACATTTTATATATATATATATATATATATATATATTTTTTTTTTAAATGGTTTAAACCAAATAATTGGGTCTTAGCTTCAAGCAGAGTTCTTGCGCCACCATGTGACTAAAATGGTCTTTTACGTTTTGCTGACTTATCTTAATTAGAGTTTTGAAATTCACACGCATACTCCATCTCTACTCATCAGATTCTAATTATTTTATTTTTTTACAGTTGAAGCAGTTAAGTAGTAGATTAAAAAATAACAAATGAAGATCGATTTATGGATCGATCTTTTGGGCTAATATGTATTTTTTCGTTTTTTTAGGTTAATTTCCCCAGTGGATAAACGTAGCGTTATAAACTTAAATACCTGAGCTGTAGATTGAAATATTCGTCCTCTGGTGCTCAGGTAGCAGAAGCATGACTGCACCTCATATATCATCGCTAGCTAACATTACGCGCTCTCATATCAGTAGACCCCTAACGTTAGCTAGTCGTTACCTTAAATGCAGTTAAATGCCTAAAGCTAAACGGTCTGAAGTGCGGTTGTATTTCACTCGAAAGGATTCCGACACCAGAACGTTATGTAAATTGGTTAATTTTTATTCATTCATTTATTTATAGCTACCCTTGTGTGCAGACCTCAGGTCGGTTTGCAGCTCTCCTGAGGTCATGATTCAGTGTGGTCGCTGTCCCAGTTCAAGCCACGTACTTTTCATCCGCAACAATTTGCTACCAAATTTATGTAAAAATAGCTTAAAATTATTGTTCTACAGTCATTATTTTTCAAGTAAATCTATATTAAACTATAGGCCGAAGTGTTTTAATGTGCGCTTGTGTTTATGAACAGCGCTCGATAAAGCGTTTTTCCCCTTACTTCATCCCCCTGAGTCATTACTAATTAATATCACTGAAATAAAGTAAAAATATCAGACGTGTGCTCATTTTGACCTCTTTTTTACCCTTATTACCCCCACTCCCACTCTTTGTCAGTAAATGGCCAGGTGTAAATCGGATATTACCCAATGTAGCTTGTTTTGTGGATAAACAGCGATAATGGATTTTTATCACTGGACCCTTGCGGAGGTACAGACACAGATATCAGTATATTATGTAGGTGAGAGCAACCTTGGTAGGCGGTGCCTATGAAGCTGGGGCTTAAGGGCTTTGCTCAAAAACCCACAAACATGTGATTACTCTGCCGAAACTGCGTTCGAACCCGTGACCTTATTTTTATATTTAATATTATTTTTATTATGTAAAATTTGTTTATAAACTGTTCTTAGTGTTCAGGGAAGAGGTATTCAATAAAAGTTTGCAGAGTTAGTTATTTGTGGCTTGAATTTTATAGTCCTATGTAATATTGCTTCCTGAAAGTCTCATATCCACAGGGGTTAGGATGTTAAGTTACATAGTTAACATGACAAACATACGTAACTATTTAATGCGACATCACCTGGACATGCTGGTGCCAACCCCTCCGTCAGTGCATGTGGATCTTCTCTTCAGGCTAAAGAATCACAAACTCTAACTTATGTTTTGGCACATATCTATATATTAAAGTCCTTCTGAAACGACGCACGTGACTTTCAGACTTGCCCATTTTTATTTTCAGCTATTCTTTTTAGTCTTTTTGTTCTTTGGAAGAGGTTGGTTTTGTTTTTAGGAACTATACCTCTTTGTTCCTCAAATAAAAAGATTCCCATATACAAACCTTTGCCCTTTTTAGTGTTTTTTACAAATTGTTTCCAGTGACTCTGCACTTGTAAATTTGTGGTCCATTTACAGCTTTTTAAACATCTCTCCAAATATGGAAAGCCGCTATATAATATCTCATATCTCATTCCTATCAAATTGATATTGAATCAGAATCTAATCAAATTATATTGAATCAAATGGCTAGCTTGTGAATTGAACTGAATCAGGGCACCTGTGCCAATACCCACTGCTTACAACAGTTTAGTCTTGGGATTATCATCTTTCAAAATCAGCTCTTAAGCACCAGCCCCATTTCAACAGCATCTGGTGGTCTGCTTTGAAGACTGCAGACCAAAAGCACAAACCGAAGGCTGAAGAATCTTGAAATATTCAGCACAGAAAGGTGGTCTAAGATCCCTCCAAATGGGGGCACTCTGCCTCTATCATGCATCACCAACAGAGGCTCTGGGCTCTTGGGATGCTTCAGCAAATACTGTAAAGAGGTTGATCATTTAGAAACCTCTGTTTTGAGGGTAAAAGGCAGGCTAATAGATAAAATGTGATGAAAAGTATATGCTTTCCTCAAATACCTGGGAAGAACATTTATAGTCAGAACATTTATAGAATTAGTATAGATATTTTAATATACAATCATTGTTAGGAAGAGGTCAATAGTTCTTCAGCGGACTGTATTTGTCATTTGATACTAGGATAAAACTGGAGTAGGCAGCACAGAAAATGACCGTCAATTATGTAGGTCTATAGCCAAAACGGCTTGTTGCTGTACAGTAGTATAGAAATTTTGAAAATAGCATTTTTATGATGCCATTCGAAAAGCCAAACAGGTTAATATAAATCTGTGGCCGAACTTCTCATAATAATGTCAATATCCATATATTCTAATTGAATTCATTTGATGAAATGCTGAAATATCTAATATTGTATGTACTGTTTAAATTACTGTATGATACTAATTTATTTTAAGCAATTAAATGATTCAATAAATCAATAAGCTAATCATTAAATTATTGATTGAATTGCATTTTTTTTTTCTGGACCACCCTGATGTGTTTAATTACTTTATTTCATCCAGAATGCCTATACAGTATACCAAATAAATAAACCTTACCCATTTCAAAATCATCTTATCAGCCATCAATAAGATTTCTTCTCATTATCCTTAAATTATTCAATCAGACAAGCGCTTAGATTTGGGTATGAACGACGGTTGGGGGGGTGGCAGTCGGTATTGATTTGGTCGCCATCAATATTGAAACCAAACCTCCAAACCTACACCCTTGCAATCAGAGCTTGCTGTCTGTGGTGAATGTCAGCATTGTCACTGCAAGTGATAGATATATAATCAAGGAAGTTATTTAAGAACATTTATTCATATTTATGATTATATACTCATAATAAATAAGAGGAGGGGCTGTAGCTGGACATTCTGGGCCCCCTGATGAAATGTCACCTTGGGGCCCCTCTTTCATTATATGATTTGGCCCCTGTAAAGTGCTGCCCCCCTGATTCTCTCAGGGTATCCATGGCCCCTCTGACTCCCCTGAATCATCGCTGAACTGGAGACACAAACGGAATGGGAGGTTTTCCTCTTTATTGCTTTATGTAATATATGCAAAATAAGCAACAGGCGATAAGAATTCTTATATTATAAAATAAAAAATACAGCCCCTGTGAGAACAGTGTCAGGGTGCAACTGGAAGGGCTGAGCAAGATGGTGGTGGGAGCAGTACGGGGCTTCATAGGAGTCTGGATCTAAGTAAACTGAACCGCAAAGATATTAAGGAAGGATATTTTTATTTCGCATATAAATCATAATCATGCTAAAACTTTATGCCAAATTTAAAAGCCCAAAAAGTGGAGCCTGCAGTGTATATAATGAGGTTCAAGTAAATCTGCATTTTCACAAACACATGGTGATAAAATGGTGAAAAAATTTGGTTGTTTTGCAGGTTTATATGTCTGCTAGTTTTTACTCCATCTTTGCAAATTCCACACAGAATAAAACTGAATCAATGCTTGTTTATGAGACGGGGTATTAAATCCAAACTGCCAATGACAAAATGCCGCAACCCGATGCTGCTTCATTTGTGCTTTGCAAAACGTCAGTGTTTTGCTGATCAGGGTGTTTTGCTTTGTGATGTGTGAACCTTTTAAAATAACATTATTTTTTTCAATGTGTATGTTAAAATGCCTACATGTTTGTAATGACCAAGTTACCATAAATTCTTGCTGATATGACTCAGAATGATTCACATATAGGCAAATAACAATAACAATAATCCTATTTTGTTATTTAGGAATCTTTATACATATACCAATTTTTCCATATTTATGGATTGTTAGCGGTAAATTCTCTATTTCAATTTAGCCACCTGTCCTCCAAAAATGCAGTATGCCTTGTAATTTATGCATTTTATCGCTAAGTATGCAATTATAGCAGGGTACTGGAGCAAATGGCGGCAAATACCGGTATGTTTGTGACATCAGACAGCAAAGAGCAGGCGGCCCGTGAAGAGACTGTCAGCTGCCAGGCCCCCACCTCCCCTGCTGCCCTGTAGCCACACCCTGTCCCCCCTTTTCAGCAGAAGCACAGCGCCCCCGGAGGCCGTAAGATAGCTGTCCTGCCGAGCGATGACGGACGTGGCCTGCGGCTCCGTGTTCCGCATGAGTCTAACGTCCTTCTCGCTGTCAAGCAGGATGCAGTTGAAGTGGAACTGGTACAGGCCAGGCACCCGGCAGGTGAATCTCCCCGTCTGGGTGTTGTATGGCTGCAGTCTGCCGTCTGTGGGCTCCCGGAAGACGATCACCTGACCATCCGGGCCGGGACGGACCAGGCCAAGCCGCAGAGAGAAATCAAATGCCTTGGTGGTGTTGGTCGGCAGGTCTGGGTGAGTTACAGTGAGGCAGACTTGTTGAGAGAAACCAGGAAAAGCTGCTCTTTCCCACCAAGCCTGTACTATACACTCGATTGCAGCCAGACCCAGAGGTTTGTCCTGTTTTTTTTATCAGCCATACCTGTTTCATTTATTCATATGTAGTATTGCTGTGTTCTAATGTACAGCAGATTATTCTTGAAAAACAAGTACTGAAGATGAAGGGAGTGGTAACTTAATTACTTTACAGTCTCATTACGATGCAGAGAATGTATTATGGTAATATTCTCACCTTCTTCAGAGTCTTGATCCTCTTTTTCTGAAATAAAAAATGAATAACAGATTAATAACCTTTTAATGAGGCTTAATTTATGTGTCAGATTGAAAGAGGTTGTCCTGAATGGAAACAGCCCTGTCCATTTGGGGACAGGAGATATATTCATCAGATGCTTACTGTTCTCCTTCCAGGGCTTGAGGTCGACAGTGGGGATGTCCTGGCATTTGGTAAGTTTGACCCCACTGGCAGACAGTAGGAAGGGGTTTACGGGAACGCTGGTGATGCCCGTGTTGTCACAGATGATGCGCGCCATGGAGATCTTAGATAGGGACTTAATCTGCTCTTTGGTGAAGACTCCATTTTTCTGCCACCAGAAACTAAGACACACAGAGGTTAAACATCATCTGAAAAATAACAGCCTGTTTTCAGTCAAAGGCCACGTCTAAACCCAGCGAAAGCATCACAAGGTGAAACTGCAGTCCAAAGCAGAAGGGATGAAGCCTCATAAAGAACTGGTTTGGCTTTCAGAAGGTAGACACATAAGACCCCGCTGAGATAGTAAATTAGCCACAGCAAAGCTGACAGCATACAGTTAATTTGCAAAGAACTTATTAAAAAAATCTCCCAGGGTTAAATCAATGCTCCCAATTTTATGATTTTATCCAACCCCTCAGTCACAGAGGCGTTCCACCCATTGGTTACATTGCTGAGTGACGCTGGGCTAAACAAGACGTTCATCGACAGCACGTGATAAATCCGCCCCCGACAGTCACGAGCCACACCCCTCCCATACAGCGGATGCCACTCACCGGTCACCCTTGCGGATCTGGCTGAACTGCCGCGTGATGAGGCAGGCGAAGAGGGGCCCCACACGGCCCCCAGGGACAAAGGGCTCAGCCACGCCCCCCAGCCACACGTCGATATTGTCTGCCGTGCCATATAGCTTGAGCAGGTTCTGGGCCATTGTTTTGTTCTTGAGCACGGCGGCCAGCTGCTCCTCCGTTCTGGGTACGGACAGCTTGCAGAACCGGCGCCATGCGTTGTAGCCTGGGGGGCGGGGGGGCTCAGTGCTGTCGGCATGTTTAGAGGAGTGACACTGGTCACCCCAAATTTTAAAAAATGACAGACAGCACTGCAGTTTGGAGTCTGGGCTTGTGACTGACAGGCTGTTAGTTTTGCTGTGTAATGGTGATAGCAATAACAACGACAATAATAATAATAAATATTGTTCAACATTCATCATCATGATGCTTCCCCTGAAAAATACCTGCTTACTATCACAGGAAGAAACATGCTTTGCTGACAAAATCACTTTCCCTCGGCTCGATAAATGACAATTAAAAAAATAGTTTGTGAAATTTGCATGTTCTCCGCATGCTTATGTAAGTCTCCTCCCAAAAATCCAAAGATACTTATTTGAAAGTTTAAAGTAATTTCAGTATAAATACAGTACCAGTGTACTCTGTTGACAGCATTTTGTTTCAGTATTTCAATATTCAGTCTTGTGACCCTGAAAAGGTGCAGAAGCATTAGCATGAAGGGGTAGGGTGTGTCCCTCACCGGGCAGCCCGTGGTCGCGGCTGCGCTGCATGTTCAGCGAGGCCAGGTCCTGCGCTACGTGTTCAGTGAACTGGAAGAGCCTCTCACGGAGCTCGTCGTGCATCATGTGATCCTGTACATTCAGCTTGGCCGGGTGCCCAATCAGGCCTCGCAGCACTGGGTCAATGCCTCCTGCGGGGGTGGGCAGCATGGGTGTCGTTCAGAGGCATTGAAAGCTGATTTCTTACGTGTCTCAGCTCCAGCAAACTCGAGACCAAGAATGGCCATGTTCTCTGAAAGTTTGGCTGCCCTTCCTCCCCAGTGTCTGTACTATGTCCTCCCACAGCAGTGTCCTCTGCAGGTGAATCAGTGACTCTCAAATGCAGTGGTGAGCGATTGTGTGGGCAAGACTGTGCGTCTCTATGCAAAGGTGTAGATTTGCATTAAGGACAGTAGGGACATGCCCCTACCAATATTGTGGGAGTACTGTGTGTATTTAGTGAAGTGGGAAATTTGAGCTGATTTCATTCCTAACAATGTTAAAACCAAACCTACACCACTGCTCCTATGCCAGGTAATGGACTGTTGTTCCCTCTGAGGCCATCTAGGAATCTCCGTGCTTCAGGTTCACCACAACCCATTACTACACAAGTACTTATGCAAAATAGATAGATGGGCAATTTGCTGATGAATGCTGATAAGAATAAAGACAAACCTTCAAAGACCACCCTCCAGGGGGCGCTAAAGGCTTTGTGCAGCAGCACAGACTTAAACTGCGGGTGTTCAGTGTACTTCTCATCCAGCCGGAAGATGAAAGGCTGGATGGCCAGATGGGCAAAACGATAGGCTGCTGTAGCAAAGACGTTGGAAATGCTGGGGTTCACCCTGTCACTGTAGCCGTGGTATTTGCGGAGTTTCTCTGCATTTTTCGTTCCAACGATGTGTGGTAGGTAGTCCCTGAAAGCTATGACCTGGGCATGGGCAACAAGAGCAGAGTGTGGATGTGAACCACTAGGAGGAGATACAGAGCACATATGTACAAAACCTGGAGCAAAAAACTGTGGCCTTTTTTGGGGCCTAACTGTATGTTTATGGATACTAAACACCCAAAAAATACAGATCTGATTTTGCTGTTTTATCTGATCTTTTTAACTTAAATATTCATATTTCTAAAAATCAGACAAGTTAGGATTAACAATGAATCAGCAAATACAGCTTACATTTTGAAACTGTAAGCTCACTTTGCAGTACAAGGGCTACACAGACCAATTTGTACCATATTTAAAACTTTAGAACTTCCTTGACGTGTCGTGTATGATATGAGGTGGTACATATGTTTTCTGTGGCCTAAACGCCCGTAGATGAACTACAATTAACCTGCAGCAGAAGGCAACTAATAAAAGCGGTTAACTCTTCAGAAACATCTTTGCTCATGATCATATATGTGACAGAACAACATGAGAAAAATGGAAATATCAAACTTGTTTCACCACTGATGTGCAAGTGGTTCACATTTTTTAAGTCTGCATTTTTTGAATCTTGTGCCGTGAATATTTTAAACCTATTACTCCTGCTACTGTGGTTTAAACACATCACAATTCGCTTATGACACGGCACCTGTTGTGTGAGATATTTACTTATTTTTATGGTAACAAGAGTGGAAATATTGAATAAGCAGTTTTAACAGGTCATGCCAGCTCTAGGGGATGAAAATGGAAAAGGAAGCGTTCCTGGACATGCAGGTGGAAATGGTCAGAGCAAATGAAGTTGCGGATGGGCACACGGCAGTGGGAGAGCACCACAGGGATGACATCACCTGATGGAACGCTCCCAAGATTTTGCGAGCCTCCTGATAGACCCTTTCGCCGCTCCATTTGGGATTGAGCTGGCGCAGAGTGAGGGCCAGCCGATTGTGCTCTCGCAACATTAGCGTGTGCAGGGACGTCAGGGCGATATTCTCATTCACACGTATGTCACCTGTGGGGAGATGTGTCAGGCCCTAACAGTGACACCAGTGATTCACATTACAGTCACCTAGGAACCCAGTTAATCTAAAAGCTTGACTGTGTAGCAGTATGCATATTTATTTGGTTTTCTTACTGGTTTTCCTCACTAAAGAGTTCATTCTACCCCAATCAGATGCCTTAGGGTACCTTGCCTGGTGCCCTGTGATTTCTGGAAAATCTCCTTGTAGCAGATTTAATTTTAATACAATATATGTTCTATACCCAATAAAGATTGTCCTCTATGCTACATGAGTAAGAAACTTCATACTGTTTTTCAGCATTGAGTTTCCCCCTATAGGTCCTCAACAAGAATTACTGTACTTTGACAGGTTTTACCCCAACAGTACTGCAACAATAACTGTAGAATAACAATAATGATAACCATAAGAGTGATGAGTAGTTGCCCTCATATGGCTCCACAGGGCAATGCCTGCTGAGATCCTCACCTGCTAAGAAGCAGGGCACCTCTTGCAGACTGTTATTCCCAGTAATTTTCCCTCGTGTGTTGCAGATATGCAGATTAGAGAAAGGCAGCAAATCCCTGCCGTTATCACGGTAAATGCTGTTGACCTTCATCAGGCCCGTGTCACAATCCAGGTTGCGCAGATTGCGTGCCAGAATATCATGGGACCCGTAGACCTGGTTGGCGTCCAAGAAGCACGTCAATGCATTTATCTGCTGCCGCACATTGGCCGCGCCAAACCAGGTCTCTGCTTCCCCGCTCCCACATGCTGGTGCAGAGCGGATGAAGGGGAGACACTTCACATTGGTGTTTTTCTTGAAGCGGGCATCATTCGGCGGTATCTACATGGACAGAGCAAGACAGCAGATAAGATCCCGTCTGCCATGGAATTCAAAGTCACAATTCAGGCCCTGAAGAATGTGGGCTAAGCTGGTTTACGCTGAAAGGACTGAAGAAACCAAAGACTTGAAAGACTCACTACTTGTCTAATGAAAGGAAGAAGAGTTTTTAAAGACTCCATAAGTTCATTAGTATTCCACAGCTGAACTGAAAATCCTGCAGCTTCATGCAGAACTACAATCCATACTTTCAACATCGTAAGGGTATGGATTTGGCAGTAAGTCATACATACAATGGCATCAAATCACCTGCAAGTCAGATCAGCTTCCATAGAACCATGGAAGAAGCACAGTGCAAATTCCTCTCTAACCACTGTGAAGAAAATCAATAAATGCTTGTCAAACTTTGTGGCACAAGACCAGGGTACTGACCATCATGGGGAAGCAGGGATTAGTAAAAGTGCAGGTATTTTCACAGTTGACTCCATTGCTGAATGAGCGGATGCTGGGAGAGGAGGGCGTCAGGGTCAAGTCATGGTCCATCCATTGGCCAAAGAGGGTCACCAGATGGGAGTAGACTTTATCTTGCTTCACATCCTTGTTATCTGTGTGCAGGATACGATTAGAGACCTCCCTCACCTTGAGATGGAGAAAGAGGTGGGATCAAGAGCCAGAAGATTAACCAGTAAGGAGAACCACATGCTGAAATCAACAATTGATGGTAGTCTCTGGAAAACTAAAGGTCGGTGAATTCACTTTTCCTGAGTAGGTTTGGACATGATGCCAGTTCATTGCTGGGCACACACATACACACACATAGAAATGATTCACAGCATATCTATGAACTATGGGAGGACCCGGGAGTACCCAGAGGAGACTCACATCCTACGAGGAGAACATGCAAACTACACACTCAAATAGTGATGGTGTTATTCAAACTCCCAAGCCTGGAGGTGAAGGTAACATTGTTACCTACTGAACCACCATGCCACCGTATTCCTATACAGAAAAAATAAACATTACCGATATAATAATCAAACTACCATGGGGAGAAGGAAGCCATTGACTTTCAGTTTAGGGTCCCAGCCTTTGGGCAATGATGTTCCATCCTGGTACTGAGGTGGCAGCCAGCGTGTAAACGGCATGTTTGAGGATCCCAGACGCGTGTTTCTCCTGGTGAACCAGACACAAGAGAAACACAAACACCTCCCTTTGCATGCCACTTTCCCACATCCATGCCCTTGGACCAAGCATGCTGAGCAGCAGGTCATTGCCACACTGCGGCAGGTCGGTTCTGTGCAGCCTTGTTTTTTTTTTGGGTTCAATTCAGGTCAAGAACCTCAACAAGAGAGGACAAGAGGAAAGTCTCCACCCATGACTTGAAAAGCTCAGTTACAAGTCTGGGCCTCCAGGTGGTGCCTGCTGCATGCTAATATGAGCACTGAGGACTTACATGTTGTTGCAGATCCCGGTGATGGTACGGAACTTGCTCTTTAATATGGTTTTATTACATGGAGCGAGACTTTGGAGGGCCCTACATCCTGTGAGCTTGCTGATGGTAGCCAGGTCTTCAGCAGTAAGCAGATCTAAGGTACGGAAGGGAAAGTGCTACATCAAGGGAAGTGGTACTACAACATCTCAATCTAATGTGTCAGTATTAACATCCATCCTTAGATTCCATATAATGCATTACAAGGCACCAGGCAGGGTACGCCCTAAGGCAGGGTTTCCCAACTCAATCTTTGTGGAACCCCAGATAGTCCACGTAGACTGTCTGGCAGGGAGCTGGGAGGGACCAAAAACATGGACCATTTGGGGGTCCCCGAGAACCGGGTTGAGAAGCACTGTCCTAAGGCACCTAATTGGGGCAAAAATATGAACCAGACCTATGTTTCAAAGCAGATAAACTGACAAAACCTGAAGCTGACATCAAAAACTGAACATGAGCAGGATTGCACACGCTTGTGTGCCAGTTTACTGTGCATGTATGTGTGAATAGCTGCACATGTAAAGCATTTGTGTTTATTGTTTGTTGTGTATGTGCATACTGAATGAGAGTGAGTGTGTATGTTTTTATGTTTATGAGTATTGCATTTCTTTGTGTGTATGGGGCAGGACAGCATGTGTGTGTGTGTCTGTGTGGATTAGGTTTATATTACATTGTGGGGACCGAATGTCTTGGGGACCACAAAGTAAAGGTTAGGGTTGGGTATGGCTTAAGGTCATCGTGTTGGCGTTAGAGTTATCCCCATAGAAATGAATGTAGAGTACCCACAAAGATATAATTACAAACTGTGTGTGGGGGGGGGGGGGCGTGGGTGAGATACAGGTCTGCTCCATAACTGACCTGTGGCATTGAGAAAATTCTTGTGAACATGACCGGCCTTCTCCCTTAGCAGCTGCAATGCAATGTCCATATACTCTGCAGCACGCACAGCAGAACGTGTGCCCCCTACAGGCTGCTTCGTGAGGAGCAGGATGTCTGCATGACTAGCCGTGCTCTGAACACGGGCCAGGCTCCTTTGAGAGAGGAGGAGGCAAACACAGGGCACAGAGTCAGGAACGGCAAGGTACAGAGTCACAGACATGACACAGTGTTGGGGACAAGACCTGCAGTCAGAGATTGGATATAGGGTCAGAGAGAAGATTCACTGCTCACTAGCAGGATGGAGATTGGCAGGTGGAAATTAGCGGGAGAACATTTTAAAACAAATTTGA